CGCTAACGATAAAGTTATGAAACTATTGGGGAATTTCAAGTAACAACACTACAAAAAATGCACATATTTTGAGATAAAGATAAACAGATATGATACACAGTTACAATTACATCTTGCATTTAACATTAGTTTCATTATATACTTCAAAGTAAACTAGTGAATTTAGGACGAATAAAAAACAAGAAAAAGTACATAACACTTGTGTCATTAAATAACAATTAACATGATGAAAGGGAATTGAAATCTTTAGTAAATTTTTAGGAATTATTGGGTTTTTATTATCATTAAGAATTTCAAAATGAAGCCAAACCACTTAACAGCTCTGTTTGTCCATTACATCAGTCTACAGTTGTAGAGGAGGTCAACAACACTCAGTATCAAAAATAAGATCCGGATTTTCAACTCCAATGTGAAGTCAGTCAGTGCTACTATACGGATCAGAGACTTGCACTGCGCGTCATAAAGAGCATCTCAAACAAACTACAAACCTTCATTAACAGTTGTCTTCGCTCAATACTCAAGATCAGATGGCCGGCCAGAAAAGATCAGCAACAGGGATCTTTGGGAGCTAACCAACCAGGAACCGATTGTGAAACAAATAGGTAGGAAGAAATGGAGATGGATTGGTGGCCATACTCTGAGGAAACCATCAAGTGACATCACTAGACAAGCTATCGGTCAAGTGGAACCCGAAAGGGAAGCGGCGAGTTGGTCGTCAGTGCCAGGGTGACTTGGAGGAGGTCATGTGAAGGGGAGATGAAAACGTGTGGGCAGACATGGAGCCAGGTGAAGACTCTAGCAGAGAACCGAACGCAATGGAGACGCACGGCTGAAGCCCTATGTTCCTCCAGGAATTAAAGGATACAATAATAATAATAATAATAATAATACAATTGTATAGCAGAGTACTTATTCCATCAGAGTTACCTAAACATTCTGTGAATAGATTAATAACTTCAACTTAGGCAACCACTAGCTGTTGTATACTTTGAATGATAGCGCTACTGACAAGATTTTATAAGTAGCATACTCCATATGATGTCGTGTGTAAGAATATTCAATAACGGAGAGATAAATTAAATGGTGGAAAACAGTAATAAAAAGCCATGTGAAATAACATAGAAAACAAGAAAGGAAGACAAAAGAAGCATAATACAGAGAACATGTGCAAGTGGATATATTAATGTAGGGTGCATGTATTTTGCCACATCTGTATATCGATTAGTCTAAAAACCAGCTCAGCTACCGAATACTGTCGCGTTCTGCTATTACAATGTCACTTCCACCTATTTTACTTTAGCACTAAAAACAAATGACAGAGTGATCAAAGAGTGTAGTTCTTGAATAGCTTCTTTCAAAGTTATATATTGGTGTTTTAGTTCATATGACTGATTTATAAACAGAGAAAGAATGTATTACTTCCGCGAATGTTAATGGTAGGTTTGATGAATACTTTTGTAATTTTTACGTGAAATAAATAAGACTCACTTATAGATGAAGAATTAAACAGATAACTCATTGGAACACAGTGCATGGGAGAAGCATGGTCCAGTAAACTTACCTCTGTTGTTTTTACAGTTTCATGTAGTTCATTATACAAATGTACCTTAGTGCTGGGAGAAGATGGACGAAACACTGCTTTCGTGTCGTATTCAGTCTGAGTTGAACGTTCAGAGTGTTGTATGGATACTTGGACTTCGTGATCGTGCAAAACTGAAACACCACTCATATTACAGTTTTTACAGTTTATTGAAGGAATGTGCTTTGATAAATCCGTACTAACATACTATGGAATATAATCAGAAATAAAATATTTAAAGTCGACTATTTCATATACAAATTTTACAGTAACTTTGACTAAAATAGACTACATTGCTACAGTCAATCACTTGAGAATCGCAAAATATTCAGTTTCAAGGCAGTTTTTATTAGGCATCGGGATCACAGAAATACTTAGAACCAGACTGCTTTGTCGCATCTTTTTTTCCTACTGTGGGGTATAATCGTCATGATATTTGAAAAGACTTAATTCTGTTACATTTAAGTTGCTATTAAAACGCTCTACAAAAATTTCGTCACGATTATAACGACTTGATGAGGACTCTGGGTTCAACAATCGTCATCTGGGATGATAACTACAAACCCGGTTCGAACCCCAGTGGGTGCGCACTGATGGAGAGTATCAAACTGGGACGAAACAGCTGTCCAGTACTCTCAAGTTTTCCAATGGTTCTTTAAACTAACGTCAGCTGATGATGAAAACCTGTAACCAATCAATCAAATTCCTGAAAACCAAAACTTGAATTATTGTTTCCATATAAAAAATGACCATTTTAGGAACCGATTAACTGACTGCTCTCAACGTAGAACTTTGCACTTATGTGTAGCAGTTGAAGTCGCAACACTCTCTCCATGTAGCACACAAAGCAAGAAACGACAGAAAGAAGAGTTTCAAAAGAGAGGCAAAAAGAATAGTAATATGGAACTACAATAGAATTTTATTGGAAGCTATATATCACAGAGAGTGAATGCGTCTGGGCCAGCCATTGACAACGACGATTTTGAGCCATATCACCGATTGTCTCCACCCATTGGTTTTACCATCTTGAGGACTCCAATCAGGAAGTCTACACCTACTTACGTGGCTGGCTTAAACTAACTGTTGTGGATTTCATTGACTGATGAAGCCATGTTTTCGTCTGACCATCGCTAGCTAACTCCTTTCTAACCCGATCAATCCTTTGTCAGCTAGCATTGCCCATCAATGAAGGCGATCGATAGCTAGGCATGCGTAACACATGTCCTAACCATTTCAATCGATGTAACTTATCAAACTCATCGATTGATTTCCCCACCCTACCTAGCACTCGACCGAAGCCTGACCTCAACATTGCTCACCCTATTATACCATTTCCCACGGGAGATAGAAAACAGGCACTTATGACCAATGACAGCTAGCTAGCCTTTTCATGTCTTCCACTTCCAATGGCCATATCTCACAGCCATAGAGGAGAATAGAGAGAGGACTTCTGAGCACTGCACACGCCCTTCGGTCGATAGCCAGATATCATGTCTACGCCAGAGATGGCATAAGTCCGCATACTTCAAACGAGCCAAACAGGAAAATACGTAAGAAGTCATTTTAAATCCACCATAGACCATTATTACGAAGGAATATTTAAAAGGAAGGTATGAAACCTGGGCAACTGCCTTTTCTGTCTAATAAGCTTATTACGAAAATGTTTACTCCAACATATTATTTCACGACCACTTTTGGACTTTTGTGTTGCACTAATCAGTTATTTTACATGTCTTACAATTTAGAAATCATGATCATTCTCACTACAGATAATTTAGCCATCATTTATGTCAATTTATTTTTTGTACTCCTTCACGTTCCCAGTGGAACATAGGGTTTCAAGCCAGAGGCTTAAAGTTTCTGTAGCAGTGTTTATTTTTATAGGATGGGTTTAAGTATAAATCTTGAGCACTGTGGTAGAGTATAACTCCATTATGGATAAGATTTTACTTTGATAAATCACACAGTGTTGTACAGTTATATTAACTGATGACGTTTCGAGCATAAACTATTGCTCATAATCATATCAAGTTGATATGATATTGATATGATTATGAGCAATAGTTTATGCTCGGAACGTCATCAGTTAATATAACTGTACAACACTGTGTGATTTATCAAAATAAAATCTTATCTATAATGGAGTTTACAGGATCGGGTTGCCAGCCTCATGCCCAACCTTTCCTTTTTACCAACTCCGGACTATGTGCACGGTCGGTGAGCGTCCTAACCGCTGTGCCACCGACGCACAATGTTAATTTATTACACAGGATATAAAGTGAATGCTTAAATGTTTTAACGAAATCAAAAAAAGTTTTTTAATGTCAATTATAACTTCTCTACAATCATTTATGAGAGAAATATTCTTCAAACATCCAGATAGTTATCTGAGGGATCAGCCTACAAGACTTTGACAAGTCAAGTTAAAATGTACAAAGCAGAGAGTAGCGTCAATAAGTAATTTGATTCAAGCCAACCAACGCATCAGACTTCAATTCATCAAGGTGAAAAAGTAGCGATAAGGAAAAATATATAGTTGAAATCAGCCAATCAAGAGCCTGGAAAATGACTACGAAATGAAACAGAAATTTGAAAGATTCTTGAAAATTATTTCGGAATTGGTTTGTAGTCAGTCACTGTTTAGGATTATCAGACAAACTAGCCCAAAATAAATAATAAATTATGTTTTCTGATATCTTTTTAAACTTGAAGTTGTTTTAAATGTAACCGGGGTTCAAAACTATTTAAATTGACGTGACCAACGTATTATGGCTAACTATTTGAT